CCCTTCTCTCTCCAGGTCTCGGCCTTCTCTGTCTCTCTGTCCCTTAGTAACTCACCTCCCCCAGCCAGAGTCTCTGGAGATCCTAAGACACTCCAAGGAGCAGGTTGGTGACAAAGCCCAGCAAGGATTCTAAAGACCCCAGGGGGTTCGACCACTCTGAGGGCTCCTCAGGGTGCCATATTCACTCCAGCATGCATGAGCTGTAGCGTGTTTATTCCAAGATGCTCTGTCCTATCTCAGTACTGACCACAGGTCCTGGGTCATCTCCACATGGGGACCATCCCCTCGGAATGCTTCCGGCCCAGCCAGATATATTGGCCAGATCCCCTAATCCCCCAAAGCCACCTGGTACTAGAACAGAGCCCGGTGAGCCCCACCCCATCCCTGCACTGACCCACCCCTCCCACCACTTCCTGCCCCTCCCCCAGCTGAGCAGCCTACCAGCCAGGGGAGCAGGGATCACAGCCCTGCACAGCCTGATGCAGTCTCTCTCTTGCGCAGCAGCCACTTCCAACAATTCCTCCCTCTCCTACCCTCTCCTGCTCTCATCTTTCTCTCTCCTGTTGGGCCCTCTAATTGGGGCAGGAGAAGAAAAGAACCAGAAGCTTGAGCAATGGTTTGTGAGTCTCTCAAGAAGGCAAGATAGAGTCTAAATTAAAAACAACGATAACAACAAAGCTAAAAACAAAAAACTCCTGGTTAAAGAGAGCTCTGTGCTTCTTTTATGAGACTTACTGTGTTATTTCTGGAATTATATCTTCCATGGTGCAAGTATTATCTCCTTTACTAGGTGGTCAGAATCTTCAGAGCGGAACAATCTTTTTATATTTGTTTCTTCTGAGTCCTTTCCCCACCTCCAGCACCTAGGTTTTTCAAGCTTTTCAATGAATTACAGTTGATCCCTGAACAACACGGATTTGAATGGTGTGGGTGCGCCCATATGCAGATTTTTTCAGTAAATAACAGTACCTGTATTTTCATTTTATGGATCTTTATTAACTAAGTGTGGGGAGAAGTTTGTGATCTCCATTAGAGATCACAATATGTAGAATCAAAAGAACTAGGGTTTGAGGCCTGATTCTATCCAAACTGTTTCAGCTTCCTGCCCTTGGGTGAGTCATTGATCAAATTCCTTTGTTTTTGAGGCAGATATAGCAATACACAGATTCTAAACTGCACGGGGGTGGAGGGAGGGGTGTGGGGGTGTGGGGGTGTGGGGGGGTGTGCGTTCCTAATTTCTGTATTGCTCAAGGGTCAACCGTAGATTCAAAATAAGTCCTAAAAATTGATAATGAATTGAATTTTGTTGTTTGGCACTAATATCCTTGCTGATCAGGGTACAAGAGAAAAAAAAAAAGGCGTCATTTCAAACTGTGTTGACAGTTTTCTTAACCTCATACTAAGAGTCAGCAAACTGTGGCCTGCAAGCCAAATCAGGCCCAGCACCTGTTTCTGTGCAATCCAGTTACCTGAAAATGATTATTTTAAAGTAACTGTAAATAACTCAAAGGAAAAATAATATTTTTGTAACACATAAAATCATATGAAATTCAAGTTTTAGTGTCCATAAACAAAGTTTTACTGGAACAGACACACAGACACTGAACTCAGCTTTCCTATTCTCAGCCACGAAATAGGAAGAATAATAACTCCGACCCTTAAGGGCTGCTTTGAGGCATTAATGAGCAAGTGAGAATGATGTGCTCAGACAGTGGCTGCCTGTGTTTATGGTGAAAACGCTATAAATGTCCCAGCTGCTGTTGTTATCTCTCATACAGGTGGACCTTCAGGGGATAAAAGCCAAGTTCCAAGAAAAGTATCAGAAGTCTCTCTCTGACATGGTTCGCTCAGACACCTCTGGGGACTTCCAGAAACTGCTGGTGGCCCTCCTGCACTGAACCGAGCCAGCACAGCAGGAGCACAGGAAGGAACCACCTTTGTCAAGAGCCCCCCAAACCAGATTTGCAAATGCCACTCCAGCATGAAACACCCTCGAGGGTCCTGGTTTATTTCCTTGGCAGCCTGAGCTATGCGGCCAGGGCAAACTGTTTAAGTTAAGGGCAGCAGCCTCAAGACGCTTGACTAGATCACCCTGAATGCTGGTTTAGCGAGTATCTGGGCTGCCTCTTAATTTCCCTTGAGGGCAGTCACTGAATGCTTTCTGAGCACAGACGAAACCTGCAGTTGATGAAAAACTAGGCCTTCGTAATAAAACATTTAAAATAATATGTATCACACAGGGATATGTATGTTCTGGGTAAAGAGCAAATGGCTGAAATACAAGAAAGACCGAAGTAAGCAATTCATTCATTTTCCTTCTGTGTGCTCAATTTCAAATCCTCCATGTTAATTGAAGGTGTGGATTATGCCTACGTCAGCTGCTTTTCCAAAGACTGGGTTGATTTGCTTTGGTGTTTGTCCTGTAAATAAATGACTTGTGAAATTTCAACATATTTGGAAAATGCAAACAGTTACATTTATTAATAATCACCAAGGACAGTCACCAAGGCCAGCGGCAAGGAAACAACTGACTTGCCTATACGAAACTTAACGAGAGGTAAAATTCCCTGATCTGCTACCTGGTTTAAATGGGTTTTCTTGCTTCTCTAGACATTTGAGCCACTTGAGTCTTCCCTCGGATCTTCAAATACAACTAGGCTGGGCACAGTGCCAACAGGATCAAGGTTAATGGTCTGACTCTCAAATGGATTGATTCTGCACCAACAGCATCTCTGTTCCAAGGTGTTTGTCTCATAGCCACGTGTTGCTACACATAAAGGGGTCTCTGTCATGAGAACACGGACACTTTGGTCCAATAATTATAGTTATCGTTCACTGGATGATTATTTGTGCCTGGAAATGCTAAGTAGCTTACTTTCATACTTAATTTTCCCAACATCCCTATGAGGTTAATATTACTCCCATTTATGAGCTGAAGCAACTGAGACATTAAGTAATCTGGCTAAACTCATTCACAAATGACAGAACCGAGATTTGAATTCAGGGCTGGTGGACTCCAGAATCCATCTTAGTAACCGCTTTTCTTGGAAAAATAAAACAAAGTACATGGAAATGGGTCTGTATTCATTCACCTGCTTAAGTTCATACTATTTGCCAATCACTGTGCTGGGCTCTGGGCATACAAAGATAAAGAGAACACTGGCCACACCTTGGGCAGTTCACTCCCAGACCAGCAGTGTAGACGGATGCCTCCAATATTCATCAGATGCTGTCAGTGCATTGATACAGGCAAGTAACGCTCTCTACCCATGAGTAAGAAGAGTGAACACAGAGCTCTGCCTGGGGGAACTGGGGAATGCTTTACAGAGATGCAGTTGTGGTGGGTTTTGAATACATAGAAACCTTCCAGAAAAACAAAGAAAGAAGCACATGGGTAGAGGCTCGGAAACATGAGAGAGCAGGATGTGTTCAGGAGGCGTTGAAATCCATTCTCCTGGGGCTTAGATGTGGTGAAAGGAAGGAGAGGGTCGGGGAGGCGGGTGATGAAGAGCATGTTTGGGTCACATCAGCCGTGGTTTTGCCTTCCAAGTGTGAGCTTGGTCTTCTGGGCAATGGTGGTCACTGGAGATGTTTAAATGAGTGAGAACATGATCAGATTTGGGTCTTGGGAAATCACTTTGGTGGTGTAATCAACACAGAGCATACCAGCCCAAGCACGCTGTGCTGTGTCTTTCTAGCAGCTGTAAAAGCGTGATCAACAAATTAAGAAGTTATGTTAACATCTGTATCCTCGACACACCGGTTTATCTACCTAACAGACACTGCTGTCATTATGAGCTTTAACAGGTAAAATGGTTCAGAGACAAAACACACTCATGTTCACTTGTTGTCTTTTAAAAAACAAACGAAAACAACCAGTTCTTGGGATCTGCGCTTACAGTAAGGACGGAAAAACAAACCAGCGGACTGAAAAGAGATCTATTAAAAACAGCCATCCTTTGAGAGTGTTGAAGGCCATGACTGACATGGAGAAGAGAGGAAAGGGATTTCACAGGGGAGGAAACAGGCTGAATAAGATGGAGAAGCAAAGTCATTTGCTCAAGGTCACACACAGGAAGAATGGGGCCAGAATTCAAACGCAAGTCCTTCTGACTCTGATGTCTGAGCTCTTAGCCAATTAGTTCACGTCCGTGCGTGCTTGCTCCAGAGCTTGCTGCTCCAGGCACCAGGCACCTCTCTGCCTCTTGCTCACCACTCACAGGCAGAAGCCAGTTTCCACGCTTGACCTGGGGGCTGCCTCACAAGAGAACTCCCCTGTCTGGTCTGTCCCCAGAGTGTCCCGCCCTCCCTGTCATGGTCAGGAATTTCCTCCTTTTCCCTTCCATACACCCCTGCCTGGCCCAGGCTCCCCCTCCCCTCTCCCCAGGCCCCTACTCTCAGAGGGCAGGGCCTGCCTGGGGATGGGGAAGGAGGAGGGGACAAAGGTAGAAGGAAGTGGGGAGAGCAACCCTGCCTTGTCACCCTCCCGCTGCACAGCCCTGTCCCCCAGTCCGCCCACCTACTTCCCCCAGGGCCACTGGGGAAATCCTAGCTCCTGCCACCCGGGTGTTTGGGTAGGTGGGGAGGGGGTCTGAATTCCTCCTCCAGGGCTGCACGGGGAGAGCAGGTCCTGTGGGTGCACGTGGTAACTCACCATCCATTTCCCCATGAAATTCTGTTCCAGACCCTGACTGGCTCAACCCCCATGACTCACCTGGCATGGGCCTTAATCACATCAAAGGGGCGAAATACCTGCCGCCACCACCACCCACAGACTGCCTTCTGCTGCATGGCGACGCCACCTAACCAGACTTCTGGGGCCTCAGCCTTGAGGCGAACTGCGCTTTGTCATTTTTCTCTTTTTTATTCTAGGCTCTTTCCTCACCCGGACTCAGGATCGCCAAATCCAAGGGGCTGGAGGGCAGCTGTCTCATTTTTATTCCAACCACTCAATGAGCATGAACTGAGAATCTGCCGGGCGCAGGGCTGGGCGTTGAGGACCCAAAGGTGAGCCGATCACACCTGGTCCTGCCCTCACAGAGCTTCCTGTCCAGGGGGAGACAGACCTTTACCAAGTAAACATACCGAGCTAGAAAATAATCACAGCTTGACATGACATGTCTGTTAATGTTTTATTGATTATGATATTGGTTGTAAATTTTCTAACTTAATAAAGCTCAAGAGTTTTTGCAGTAAAAAAAAGAAAAGAAAAGAAAAATCACAGGTTACAATACCAACCATTAAAGGAATGAAGTGGGTGCTGTGATGGAGGGTGATGGGGGCTGGGTGGGAAGGAGGGAGAAGGGAACCACTTTAAATGTAGCAGCCAGGGACCGCCTCTCAGGGGAGGGAGAACTGAGCATTAAGACCTAAGGAATAACAGGGAATCATCCATATATTAGGTGGAGGGGATTTCAGGCCTAGAGGACAGATCAGGACAACTTGGGACAACGTGGGAAAGAGCAGGGGTGGTCTCGGAACCCACTGGACGGTTGGCATGGTTGATGCTGTGTGAACGAAGGCAGAGTGAGGGGCAGTTAGGGCCTAAATGGAGCACGGCCTCACATGGTAAGGTGTCTGGGTCTTATTCCAAGTGCCTTTCCCGTGCGGGAGCCCCACATTCAGGCTCCAAGGTTTCACCTCGTCTTATCCTCATGGTTCCCAGTATGACTGGGATGGAGTGATGGAGCGGTGGTATCACCCATGCACAGTCCCAGATCAGCCCAACCTCTCTCTTCTCCTGGTTGAACTTTTCTAAGAGGATGTTGGTGTCCTTTCCCACAAGGTGACTCAATCAGAACCATGTGACATATCAGAGTGTTTCTAGAAACACTGGATTCCACTGGACCACACTGAGGGGTTGTGGTATGTTGGTAAATGTTTAAAAATTAGCTCTCTTGGGGGAGGGGTAGCTGATCTGTAGCATTTGCTGACTTCCATGGTGTAAATACTCCCACCATAGCCAATTTCAAGCTACTGATATGATGTCACCGAACACAGGGTTCAGAAAAGATGAGAGTAGCACACCCGTATACAGTCTTTCCACCATACATATACAAAAGACGTAAATAACTTCAAGAGCACAGATGATAGTGAAATGTAGTAAATAATTAGAAAGTAATAAATTTTGAGTATCTATTACATTTTTATCAATATAATTTAATTGTAGGTTTACATAATTTAATTTTTAATAATGACTATGATTAACACCAGCTCGTCAAATTCATGAAAAATTAACACCTGGCTCCCATGAACCCATAGGAACCAATGCCAGCGCTCCATTTGGTGAGTTTCCATCCCATTTCTTCCAGGGGACTCCCGAAACGATCTGTACCCTGTCCCCAGGTACCTGAATAAGAAGTGATTATCCTGAACACTGTTCTCCCAGGACAAAGTGTTGCTACCTACCATACATCTCAGGGGCACAATGAATGGTTGTGTATGTTGTCTACTGCACAAGGCTGCCTGGTGGAGAGGATGTTTGGGACCTGAAACCCAGGCCTAGTCCCTCCATCAGATTTTGCCTGCAGGACTACAGCTGCCTAGAGAGGGTGCCTTCCACTAATATTCACCGAGGTACCGTACGGACTGGTCCTGGAACTGTAAGTAATCTATTTTACCTGTGAGAGGCCATTCAAGAGACTCTTCCCTGGACAAAATGCCCGTTATCAGCTTTTTATTCTAAAAAATATTTAGATTCTGCCCCTCTTGGCATATAATCAATATAGCCATATAATCGATCCCTGTAAATCTAAGCAGAGTGTTTAAAAGCTAAGATTAAAAAGAAAAAGGAGACTAGAATAACGGTCCAGAAGAGGAGACAGAGGTTATATCACATATACAGAGATAGATGGTGGAGCAGAAGAGGGATATCCAGGCTGCCTTCAGGAAGACATCAGCCCAATCAGAGTTAGATGTGTCAGCCCCCAGAACACCCCACCATCCTCACCCAGAGGGCACTGGGTCCCTGCCCCAGCAGTGCAGAGTCTGGCTCCCGCAGCAGCAAAAGACCGATGCACAGGACTCCTCCAGGCTGCAAACTAGCTATTTCTCAGACCACACTACAGCCCATAAAAATGCC